ATATCTAGATTATGGTGTCAAACCAAATTCTTACAGCAAAAAACCTTATTAAAGTTGTTGAAGCCTTTGATTTTCCAAACTACAATAATAGGATGGGTCAAAAATTTAGAGATGGGTGATTTGTGTTGAAACACGGGCTCACAACTTTATATTTTTTATGATACAAACATTATGGCTGGCATCCTTTTATTAATTGTATATGCAATGAACATTTATTTGAGTATATATTAATATTTCAGTAATGCTAAAAACCATCCAACAAAGATTCAAGACTGAAAATTGGCTATAATAGGTTATGTTATAAAGATGTTTGTATTAATAATTGATGTACTTTTTTATTTCTTAAGTCAAGTCTTACAAGGGGTGTATGCTTTCTTGGTGACCAAGCTCACACACACTCAGAGGAAGTGAGATTGAGTCAAAACTAGAAGTTCAATTTTTGAACTAATTATATTATACAATTTATGTTATATTGTACTACTAGTTCATTTAACTAATAGTAATGTACGATTTAGATCATTTAGGATGATCAGTAATGATCATGAAAAATAGCCACCTATCATAATTTAGGCAATTTTTTTAAATTTCATATTTGGTTCTATTTGTCCAGGATGATGTACATCGTACTGGATGATATATGAAAATCATTCCTAAATCAATCATGTGATTAGGGGACTAATTATTTTTTATTTATTTAATTTAATAATCCATGATAATCACTGAATATTGCACTTGACAACCTGAGAGATAAATGGGACGATAATTAGTCATCTGAGTGGAAATACCATAAATTTTCTTCTAATAATCTAGGATGTTCCTAAATATTGTACAGGATGATCTGTACAAATTTGAGTTGATCATCCTGGACTATCCGGAGATCGTCTAGGACTATTAGGTTAAATTTTGTACATCATCCTAAATGATCATGCTATCATACTCGACAATATTTTACGCTATAATTGTGTTTTTAAGGATTTTTTTATGCCCTTTTTTTAAGCACATCATACTAGATTATCTTGCAATAGTCCTGGATGATCTTTTCCACCAAAATTAATTTTTAGGGTTTTTTAAAGCCCTTTATTTAAGCTATCTCTAGGCACTAGGTAAATTTCTTTAGCAACCATTATATCTTCATTCTTCTGGAGAAATCTTAAAGAGAGAACCTAAGAGTAAGAGAGGAAAAAGTGGAGTTTTAGAGGGAGAAAATCCTTTGAGGGGGTTTCAAGGAAGTGTGGAGGGAATTTCACATGGTTGCTCTAGCAAGCTTGCACCTCAATACCATGGGATTCAAGGTTCGTTTTGAGGGATGTTTTGGGAAGAAGAAGATCTCCATGGTGTCAAAGGACCTAGCAACTTCACTTCACCGAGGAAGGTAGAAGTGATTTTATAAGGGCTTATCTATGTAGCTATGTAGCTTTAGTGCAATACTTGTATGAGCCCTTTGGGGAGTGGACATAGGTTAAGTCGGATCAAACCACTATAAATCTGGTGTGTTTTTTTTTTTTTAACTTTCTTTTACGCATTTATTTTTGGTTATAACATCTTGGTTGAAAATTTGTTTTTGATATTATGTTGTATTGAATATCTGTTTTTGAATGCTGAAAAATCTTTAAGAAAGGGATTTTGATATTAATTTAAAGTATTTTTTTTAATATCTAATTAACCCCCCTCTTGGTTAGCCTCGAGAGTAGTTCTTTAGGGATTGACAACCCCCTTGAACTTTCAAGTAGTTTTAGAGCACTTTCAATTGGGGCATTTTCTTAGGGCCTTACCTTTGGTTGTTCTATGTGGTTTAGATATAGACTTAGCAGGATTAGAGGTTGAGAGAGAATTGGAAGAGGGATTGTGAGTGGATTGTAAGTTGGGTTGATAATATTTAGGTAGCTCTTCTGATTCCCGGGTAGAGGAAGATTCAAATTCTGTTAGATTTTAAAGAGTAGTAAATCTATTTGGTGATAGGATTTTTGTAGATGAGATGCCTGATGAGGGAGGTAAAGGATATGAGGCAAATGGCGTATCCATAGTGGGGGAGTGTTTAAGATTAGGATTGGTGTTAGAGTTGGTCCAAAGGTGTTGTTAGTATCTGTAGGCTCAAGGATTTAAGAGGTAAAAGTAGAGGGTTTGTTAGTTTTGAAAGGGATATGCTGGACTAAGTTAGTTGGGGAATATAAGTTTTCTGGTGGAGGAAGAATGCCTTTAGGATTCTTGGAAGGCAGTTTCAGCTTGCAACTTGTACCTCTTTGGTTCATAAAGGTGGAGGGAGGTTAAGGTTGAGGGTTATGGTTAGAGGGGCTTGCATCAACATGATGGTTTAGGGATTTTCACATGTCACAGAAGGTCGGGCACCACTCATTGGATTTCGAGGTAAAAGTTTTACCTTCAACTGAGATTGGGATAGTTTCGAGTTTAGCAGTAGTGGAATCGATTTAGACATAGGCTCTAGCATATGTGAGCCTTGATTTGGATAATATAACAGCATCAACCGTATGGGAGTAACCAAATTTAGTTGCAATTTGGGAAATCCCTATCTGAGTCTAGCAAGATAGAGGTAAGTCATAGATCTTAAACTAAATGGCCACCGAGGTAAACTCTTCCCTCTTAGGATCGAATTGTCATGTCCATTTTTTGAAAAAATGTAAGGTTTTCTAAAAATTGACCATGCACATGTAGACCATACCATTTCATAATCTTCAACACTGGAAAACATGAACAGGAAGAGAATCCATCACTAAGTAAGATAAACTTGATATTAACTTTAAACTTTCATAATTTCCTTATGACATTGAGAAGAGCTTAATAGAAAGGCCTCTTCCCAAAAGAATATCCCACCAGTGCTAGATTCCACTCTTCAACATCATTAGCAATATCCTCAAAAGGAAAGCCAATAATTTCCTCTAGAGTTGAATGTGAAGAAATAAGAAACTAATAGGAAGTAGGCAGACTCATAAGAATGTGGTCCCATGGTAGAGGGTTTGCAAGCCCAATAAGTTTAGAGGGGAGAGAGGAGTTGGGAAGTGGTGGAAAAGAAGAGGACAAGAGGGAGGGATCCATAGAATCCCTCTGACAATGGCTAAAGAGAGCCTGAAAGAAGCGGGAGAGAGGTGGCTGGAAAAGAGAAAAACCCTAGCAGAGTTTCTCTCTCAAGGTTCCCTCACAAAAACCAACAAAGTTGCATAAAAATTACTTTGCCTTTCTTATCATTCCACCACTCTAAATTCTGATCATTTCTTAACAATAAATCAACAACAAAGAAGTCAAATCACATTTCATAGGCAAATTATGTACGGATCTATGATCCATCCCTTCCTGTTGAGAAAATTTATAGCTTTTTAATTTGAGGAACCTACAATGTTTCAATATTCTTTGTGAAAGCCATTACATGCATGAACTCTTTCACGAACAGGTCCACTTCATATAAGTCATTGTATTATAACAAAATCCTTTGATCTCATGCGTACATGTGTAAAGCACACAACACATATACCCATATAAAGTTACAGTATCATTACCTTTCTCCTTACATCTCAACTGTATTTTTCTTTTTCTTCTTAACAGTGATATTCAGCTTTCCTGGTATCAGAGCTTTCTTGCTCACAACACAAATCCGATCTCATAAAGAGGGATGGGGTTGGCCAAGGATCTCAGGGCAGGGAAACAGCTTTTTTTTTATACTTCTCTGGCAATTTTGTTTTTTGTCAGAAACATTTTCCTATGCGATTTATGTACTAACAGAATACTTTTTGTCAGAACATTTTTTTTTTTAGACATTTAGGCCATTTAAGGCAAACTCACACACACAACACATACACATAGACTCGAACCATGGACCTCTTAGTTGGAAGCCTAAGTTCTTAACCAATAGGCCAAGGAGAGTTGTGTTTTTGTCAGAAATTTGATGTAAACATTCAAATCCGTCGGTAATAAGAGATTTTCTTGCAGTATTTTAAGGACTTTATAATCACCTTATATTGATGAAATAAAATTTAACCTTTAAAAAATTAATTAATTTAACAAATTTCTTATGTAATTAGTAACGTGATTATGAATATTTTTTATTTTGTAAATTTATATCTTCACATGAAATAAAAAATTATAGCTCTGAAAGTAAGTTCACCTACACTATCAGCCTACTAAACTGACATATCTAGCCAACAAGATTAATACTATTTAAACTCTTTAATTTGTAAAAATATGTTATTATTCCTCACATAAATGCTGAATATTTGTCCAAAAGCTGTTGAACATCTTCTTGTATCTGTTACAATTCCTCTTCTTATAATGTAGTAATGTCTACAAAAATCTAAGAGAGAGAGAGAGAGAGTATTGTAAGAAAATGTAGGGTCATGCTCTTCCCCACTAGACCTGACAACTTTTTGAACATCATATACCTTATTATTCTCCTAATTAAATGGAGTGAAAGACAAGGTTTAAGGATAAAAGTTGGTAAACATCTATAATATAATACTGTTATAAAAACCACTTGAATTTTCTTTCACATCAATTTATGGCAATTCATTTTGTTTTTTTTTTTTAAATCATCTTGTACCTTCATTGTATTTTAAATAATTTATAAATAAAAAATAACAATTATATAATTTAATGCCCCTCACACCTTTTATTAAATTCATTTTAATTATTGAAATCTTGAATTTTGTTCGTTTTATTTAACATCATATATCTTATCTATACAAATATTATAATGGCATTTATGATTGAAGCATTCAAAACTGTTCGCATTTCAATCATTTTATAATGTTATCGGCGAGGCATTTTACTTTTCTAATCTTAAATACTAACAGTAAATTGCGTAACTATTTGTATGGATAAAGGAGCAATGGAGGCCTTTTGTATACGAGGCTGTTTGGTAACAAGTAGGATTTAACTTTAGTTGGATTTAGATAATTAATTTATGCACTAATTATACAATTAACTATTTAATTAATTTACTTAAATATTAATAATTTAAATTATATTAATTAAGTTAATCAATAATAAGGCGTCTAGGGTTTGCCTTTCATCTTCTATTTTCGTCGTTGTTGTTCGGCTCCGTTTGCTTTCGCAGGAGGTGCAGAGATTGCAGGCGTCGCTTCTTCGGCTCCTTCGTGGCTGTTCGACTTCGCTCCTGCGACGACTTCAACCCGGATCGGAAGTTACAGCATTTTGATCAGAAGCAAGAACGGGAGCTCGCTGGCTGTGAAGGTAACTTTCTCCCTTTCGCGCGCTTCTTCGGATAAATCCCGCTCGGATTTACTAAATCCAGCTACCCGTCGGATTTACTAAATCCCGGATTTAAGCTGTAAATCCGTAAATTCGGGATTTACTGAATCCTGGAATTTAACGCGCGCACAAAAACTATTTGGCTGGATTTAGCGTAAATCCGACTTAAATCCCGCTGTAAATCCGATACCAAACAGCCCCTACAAGTAAAGGAGAACAAGTATCCAAATTACCAAAAAATCTTTACATTTGTGGGAGACTTCACGTCAGCTTGCCATTTCCCTGTCATCCTCTGTCGTGCTTCTCGGCATGAGCTCATATGTGGCTTGTCCTCCTCTATCATACTTCTCGATTAATAAAATCCTTTGCTACTTTACAAAATAGCTCATGGTACGAGCTTTTTACATTCTCTATTCTAGACATTAATCACTTTATGTTTGATTGAGGAAAATTAACTTTTATCTCCTTATCAAGTCATCATCTTCAATTTTGCAGAACCTATAGGCTTTATAGGCCTCGAATTCATTGATAGAAGAGGCTAGTTACATATGTAAAAAGGAAGGTATAAGAGCAAAAATGAGGGGTAAAAAAAAACTCAAAAGGATTCAAAAAACAAACCAAATAGTGCCAAAATTACACATGTCAAAATGGAATAAAACAAGGATCGAAGATCAATAAAATGAGTTCAAGAAATCCAAATTGCATACACTGAGCAGCACACACCCCTTGATTGCAGGAACTTCCATCAAAAGAAGAATAAGTTGCATCAGACCGCCATCCAGGGGGAAAGATAATGCAATCGATCATTATTGCCCCCAAAAAATATCCATGAATAAAAGAAGTGGTAGCAGCCAGAATGAGCAAAAAGCAAAAATTGTTGCAGTCATTAGCCAGAGGTGAGAAGTAAAAATTGATCCACTAAATCCAGAAAGGATCATCGACCACCAATAAGAACAAAGACCAAAATCGATATAGGTAACACCCCTTAAAAGAGATCCAAAAGCTGATAACCTTTATTCTAAATATAAACTTTTGAAAAAACTCGCAGCGAATGTTTTTTTTTTTTTGTGACGAGGAGCACTGTCCTTAGGCCAGTGTAAACCCCGGTCGACCTAGCATGCAACCCACACCAATTTACACGTACCAACACTTAAGGCTTTCATTGATTGCCAAGGGATTCGAACCAGGGACCTGAGCTTTGCCCAGCCGGCTCTTCACCACCAAGACAAACAGTGATGGGTAGCGAATGTTAGTTGCTTACAAGAAACTTTTATCATATAATCTGCTTCAATGGTTGCAGGAATTTTTTATAATACAATGTGCTTTAAGTTTTATTTAAATAATTTTCACTTCTTCGTTATTCATCTATTTTGCTTCATTTAAATGGAAAATTTTGGAATTATAATGTGAATATTTGTTATTAGTTTTGCAATCAATATACATGCAACAATTATATATATAAGAGAGTTTTTGTGCATCGTTTTAACTATTATTTTTTATAAATTGTATACCTGTTATGAGATTCAATGAAGTTATTGCTTTTTGGTTGCTTTGGGGTTGCATCTGGTTGAGTGTAGCCTTTAGGCATGGTGTATTATTAACATCAAATTCATGTTCCTGTACTAACATATAATAGAATGAAGAATTAGTGGAAGGAATCATATGTTGTTGATTATGATTTAAACAAACTTTAGCTACTTGTGTCATATTAAGTGTTATTGTCTCATTGAAGATTTTGATTTATCTAAGATATAGACTTGAAGATACGTAAATGAAATGATTTAAACAAGAAAATTTTTTTAACTGTGGAAGTAATTAATTTGAATGTTTTGGGAGGATAAAGTTTATTATATATAAGCATTGATATATATACAAAATATTTCACAGTTATTATGGTTTAATAATTACCGACTCTTCTAAAAGTTGAAATTTTCTTATATATATAAAAATTGATACATTTTTTTTATTTTAAGCTATTTTCACCTTATATTATTTTATGCACTATTAACCCTAATCTTTGTGTTCTTAGTCTTGAAAGTTTTATTAAAATTAATCTATTTAGTACCTTGTAGGTTTTAGCCCCAGTTTTGCATTACATTGTCATGCAGTGATACACTTATTTGGATATAATCCAAAAAACAGGAATTGTTTTGGGCTTCCGCACACACTTTCTTAATGTCAATTTAAGAACCATTTACTTCAAACAAACTTAATTTTAGTGCATCTTACTTTAGTTTACCATCACAATTTACAGTGCAAAGATTTATAATAATGAGTTTAGTAGATCATAAATGATGCCATTTATCTCTAATTCATGGTTGCCATGCATAAAGAACTTTTGACCCAAAGATTTTGGCATATAACAGAATCAGTACTTTATATGAAAGAAAGAAATATATATCAAATCATTGTGATTCTTCCCTTAGCAAAATCCAACCGCACAAATGTGTAAATTGAATGGTGTTGACAGGAATTACATATTAGATAATTTTTTTTTTCATCTGTGTTGAATCATTTTTATATATTTTTATCATTATATATGAGATATACATTAACCTACTATATTTTTCTACATTACAACGGGTACATTTGTAAAATGCAATCCTCAACTTCAGCATTACTTTCAATATACATATAAAGTTCTTCTGACTCCTCATTGATGCTACTAGAAAACTTCTAGAGATAAATAAGTTAGATGAGATGATTCAAACATCTATAGGATTTGTAGAAACACTTGAGATTATTCAAGCACAATTAATTGTCTATACAAAAGAAATAATTTATCATTTTCATTTTTAATAGATATTTTATTTATATAGTCCTCTTCACTAAAATCTTTTGGGAAGTCCTGTTCCTTCAAGCATCAACAATCATACCAGCCTTCTTGTCTTGTATGTAATCGTGGCCACTGTTAATCTATCATATGTAAATTTGGTTAAGTACCTTATTCAATAATTCATTGCTTCTTCTTCATAAATTTACCAAAAAATGATTTAATATGGCTTGTGTCAACTATAATTTGGTTGAACAACCTCAATATTACGCAAGAATCTTTCCACAAGTATTACGACTTTACTTTTATCTTAATTTATGAAACTATAGTAAATTTGAAGCCTTCTTATTTTTATTTTAGTGATCTCAAAAAATTTTTGTCATCCTTATGAAGCTCTTGCATGGATTTCAGAAATTGAAATGTCACCACCTTGTAAACTACTCTCAAAGAATTTTGTTAATTGATGCACACTAATACTTGAAGGTTTGCTGGGCTATTGAATCTGGGAAACTTCATGGATAATTTCAACAAAAACTCTTCACCTTGCCTCGATTGCAGCAACTGTATCTAATGATTTTTTTTTTATTAAAGTACCATTTCAAAGAAAGTGGAATAAATAAGGATAAATAATAATTTGGGGGAAAAAAAACATTGTATTTTTTTTTTTCAATTCTTAATGCTCAAATTCTTTGAAAGGATAATTAGGAATACTCATTCAATGGAACTCTATACATGGGAAGCAACATTACTAAACAACTATAGGTTGTGAATCTCAAAAGCATCGCTCTTTCCTTGATAGCACTTAGCTTGATCTATAGCATTTCAATATTCTAAGTGCTTGTGAAATATCAAATTTATTATTCTTAGGATTTTTTTTTTTTTTTTTTGCATTACAAAAGCAAAATGGATCAATATTGTTTGTTAAAACCATTATTTCTTGGAGATGGTAGGGCTCAGTGGAAATCTTATGTGCAACAATATTCACCTATTAAGGACAAGCTATTGTTCACTTTCACAAAAATTCTTGCTAGTTTACTGAAATGGTCTTTTCCAATTGTGGTGGAAAATCATGCCCACAAATAATTTATGCTCACATGCATATAAGATAATTATTTTTTTAGAGTGCCATTTTTTTTACATCTTACAATTGAGTTTGCATGCTCAATTGAGAAGAGTATTTGGGAGCAATCAACCAAGAAACTATTCTTCATGATGAAATGGATATTATTAGTTCAATAAAATCATTTGATATGGTATTACAAGGTAAAAAATGAAACATGCTTTAAATTCTTAAAAAAAATGCAGTTGATTGGTAAGGGTAACAGTAGTTTGTTTAAAAGAAAAAATCGTATTAGACTATTATCAATTGAAGAATATTTTAAGAAAAAAAACTTATTAGGATATTATTGTACAATACACATTATGATTGGCTACAAAAATTTGATGGCCAGTTAATTATGTTATTCTCTAACATAGTTTTTTTAATTTTATTACTAATCATTATCACTCTTTATAATTTGTTTATTATTACAGTGTTTATTTTTAAAGGTGGTAGGATTTTTTTTTTTGGAGAAGATGCTAATAACAATTTTATTAAAGAAACAAATTACGAACCACTAAGTGATAAATATTCTATTACTTTTCTCATTTAACAAAGAGATAAAATTTGGAGGAATATTATTACTAAGGAGCGAGCTCACCGGTTCAACCGTGTGAACCCCCCTCCACACTCCTTTGAAACACCCTCTAAAGATCTTCTACCTCTCTAAAACTCCACCCTTTGCTTTCTCCTTTTCAAGTTCTCTCTTAAAGTTTCCTCTAGAAGAACGAACTTTCAATGGCTGCCAAAGACACTTCAAAAGTCTTTGACAAAGCTTAAAAAGAAAAGCTCCAAATAAGCTATTAATTGCAACAAACTAACATTATCATCCAGGATGATATTTCTATCGTCCCATATGATTAGTTCAAATTGTATAGCATCAGACAGAGCATCTCCATGTTTATATATCCGGACGATGGAAAAGTAAATTGATTGTCCGGGATGATCTCATGATCGTCCGGGCCGATTAGTACAAAAATTACATATCGTCCAAAGCATCGCCTTGAATGGAATATGGTCGATATTTGATCATCCAGGATGAACAAAGGTTTGGGAACTGATCGTAAAGGCCAATCATACGATCATCTAGGACAATATGTCGAGCAATCAAAATTTAATTTCTTTCCTTAATTATTTGAATAATTTAAGCATAATTGCACTGCATCATCAAGGATGATGTCCCAAAATAAAAGATGCCTAAAAAGATATGGTAGCTGATCATTTCTGAATTGTGCCTATAGTCCGTATAATGAAAATATCATCCTGGATGATTTGCTTGATTACAGTTGTCATAATTAGGATGCCCTAATTATGGTTTCCATTTTTAGCTGATCGTCTAGGCCGATGTTTGGATCATCCTGGATTATGTGATTGAAAATAGAAAACTCTAAGAAGCATACAGAAAAATTGAGAGCAAGGTTACAAGAAAGCATACACCCTTACAGAACATGACTAAAAAATACAACAATGAAAATTATAAATAAATCTTGTTCTAAAAAATCTTGAGCCTTGAATGGTGCACCGTAATCGTGAAATATTAGTATACACACAAACAAAACTATATTGCAAATACATGTAGACAATAGAAAGTGATCCACAATATTTGTTATCATCAAAACATAAAATCAAAAGCTCGAGTTGCAACAATCTCCCCCTTTATGATGATGGGAAATAATATTCGTTGAATTTACAAAAATAAAAATATTTTTACCTAATCTCCCCTTCACTAGAATAAAAATTTTTAAAATAGGGGAAATTTTTTTTTTTTTGTTTTTTTTTAATTTTTTGAAGGGTTATAAAAAAATATACAAATACAACATCATGTTCTCCCCATTTGACATTATCAAAAAAAAAAAAAAAGGCATAAAAAATATAAAATGATGAAAAACCAAAATAATTCATGATCTAGTAAAAAAAATTCTTAAAATGAGAAAGTTACCTCTTATTTTTATTTTAAAAACTTAGTAAGGAATATATTAACAATGCATAATTTAGAAATTGTTAATCCAAGCTTAAGTTATTTTAAAGACTAAAAAACTTTTAAATTAATATCTAAATCAAGGAATAAATTAGAAATAGAAACACTAATTTTTTTAAAACTCTTTTCATAAAACATATCTAATAGATGATTAATGTAAAAAAAAATTGTGAATCTTGAATCATGATTTTAAAGCTCAAGTATAAAAAATATCAAGGGTTTTCTTAAGCTTTAAGAAGTACGAGAAAGGTAAGCTCACTTTTTGTGTGCTCATTTTATGCCTCTTGTAAGTTGTTTGGCACACTTTGTGCATCATTTAATTTTTGATACACTTTGTGTATCTTTCTCAATTTGACGTCATTGTGCTTTTTTTGGTTTGGAGTCATTGGCCATTTTTTTTCAAACAAAAGAGCTACCTTTCTAAAATTTCAAAAACTAAAGTAAACTCATTTTAATGACAAAGTGGACTCTTGATTAAGAAAAATATGAGTTGGATTCAACAACTTGCAAAAGATCCCTATGTGATAGAAAGAATGTAGGGAGATGAAAAAAATTAATTTCAGAATTCTATTTACAATATGATGTAGAATTTGAATCAAAAAGAG